CCCACAGCTGATGAACAGGGCAGAGCCACCCCAAAGGGATCTCACAGATTCATTCTCCAAGCCTCTTACTTCAAATGCTTAAGACAGAAAATCTGGTTGGCTGGGGGAAAATGCATTGATTGACTTCTTATAGGTCAGGTGTCTACTCTGGGGTAACTGGCTATGGTCAGTGGGGATGAAGCCATATGGTACCCTTTAGGTCAAAGAGAAAGTTGTCATGGGAGAATCCTGATATACCAGTGATTATGCTGTCTCCTAAATGTAGACATAGGTAGGTTTTCTGTCATTTCTATAAGTATATATCTTTCTGTAAGCGTAAATGGAAGGAGGACTGGATATAAGAAAAATCACCAAGCTAGATTGCAGTTGTGGAAAACCTAGGAACCAAATCAGGAGCAGGAAGGACTGATTAGCAAGTTTATCACAAACCATAATATGTATTGAGTATTTACTTTGTGCTAGGCATTGTTCTAAGGACTGGAGATAAAGCAGTGAGTAAAACAGACCAAAATCCCTGCCCTCATAGAGTTTATATTCCCAGGGGGTAATGCAAAAAGTAAAAAGTGAAGTCTCATACACACACACACACACACACACACTCTCACACACACTCATTAGCTCTCCCAGCCAGCTGCCATCAACAATCCCACTCCATTATATGAAACACAGTATTTTTTGTGTGAAGAAACTCAACATTATGTTATGTTCTAAAGTCAGGAATTCATCATTATTCAAATTTTTAAATACAGATTTCTAGAAGGCATTTTCCCATAAATCTTCCAAAAAGTCTAGGCAGAAGACATGCAGATAAATCAAATTATTTTCAACGGTAGGGAAAAAGCACTATTCTCAGTGATTTGCCATGATTGAAACCATGGGTTCCACTTCATCCTCAAGCTGTGTGACCTTGTTGTATATGTCACTTAACTGCATGAAGCTGTTGTGAGGTTTAAATAAGGGAAAGCATTTAGTTAGCACTAACGTTAACTACACTTGTGGTGAATACCTGGTAAACCGTAGTTATTATTACTTTTATTCCCTGCAGAGTCATGACATTTAAAGCCATTGCTCAGCTATTTATCCTGGGCTGTTCTTGGGGCCTTGGTCTTTTTATGGTTGAAGAAGTAGGGAAGACGATTGGATCAATCTTTGCATACTCATTCACCATCATCAACACTCTTCAGGGAGCATTGCTGTTTGTGGTACACTGTCTCCTTAATCGCCAGGTAAGGCTACTTATTTTGTCTGTCATCAGCCTAGTCCCAAAGTCTAATTGAATGATTGTTCACATTCTCACTCTCCTCTCACCTTTTATAATTGTATTTTGGGGTCTTCTTGATTTGAAGATGAGGGCTTAGGTGTTGCTGGGGTATGCTATATCCTGTGAGTTTCATCTGTTTGGCATCATATCTCTGAAGAGCATGGATCAGTCAGGATAAGATGGATTATGCTGCAATAACAAATAGCCCCTTGCCTCCCACACTCAGTCTTAGCAACTTACAACAATAAATGTTTATTTCTTGCTTGTGCTACATAAGTACATCGTCTTTCCTCTGGGGTGCAGGCTGAAGGTGTGACCTCTTTAGAACATTGATGGTTTCATGGCACAGGAAAAGGAGATTGTGGGAAAGCACAGCTTAGCTCTCTTAAAGCTTCTACCTAGTAGTGATGCACCTCTGTTCTGCTCTCGTTTAATTGGTCAAAGCGAGTCACATGGCCATACCTCAGTTCACCAAGAAGGGGATGAATAATCCTCCTGTAGTGAGGAGCACTACAGGAAGTGATGCTGAAATATGTGGTATAATCTACCATAAACTCAAAGAGACTTCAAGTCTAATCCCAGTTCCTCCACTGAGTATGTGGCTGTGTGACTCTGGGTAAACTTCCTATCCTTTCTGAGCATCATCTGTAGTTTTCTCATCTGCAAATGTGGTGATGCCTTCATTACAGGGTTGAATATTTAAATGAATCAGTGCAATCTCCTAGCATAGTCCTTAGTACACATTAAGATCTCAGTGAGTGTTGTTATTTCAATTTTACTCTCCATAGAAACTTAGGACCAGTTCTCCTGTCATTTTCCCTTTGCTGTTGAATAAAACTACAAGCAGTTAAAACGCTAGTGGCAAAATGCTATCTTAACATGTCATTAATTTCTCTTCAATCTTTTAGTGCCTTAATGCTTGATACTTCTCACTCACAGAAGAAATAAAATCAGTTTTAGCATGTCAAGGAGGTTAGAGGAAGGCAATTCTTGGAATCATGGAGGATGGGTGAGTGTAATGGCTAGCGTCAGGGCTCTGAATAAAGATGACAAGGTTTTGAGTCCTGGCTGTGTGACCTTGGGCGTGTCAATTTACCTGCAAGAGTCTCAACTTCTTCATCTTTAATTGTGGGTAGGAGAAATGTCTTTCTCACTCCATTTATGTAAGAATTAAATGATATATTGCATATACAGTGTATTGAATATAGCTAGTGTTCAACAAATGGTGACCTTCACCATCATATAATCACCAACACTCCCACCATTATCATCTAACCATCATCACAATAGTCACTTTTATTATTACCACCATTATCATCTTTATCATAATCACCTTCACCATCACCACCTTCATTACCTTTATCACACCTTCAACATCTTTACTATTATCACCATCACCATCATCACCATTACCATAACCTTTAATATCACCCTTATCATCATCACTAGCATCACCACCACCTTTATCATCACTTTCACCATCATCACCTACATCACCATCTTCATGATCATCACCATCATCACCATTACCATCACCTTCATCATCACCTTCACATTACTTTCATCAACATCACTATCACCACCGTCACCATGACCTTCATCATCACCTTCACTACCATCACCTTCATCATCACCATCATCACCTTCATCATGATCATTTTCATCATCATCACCATCATCACCGTTACTTTTACCGTTGTCCATTCCATTATCATCAACTTCATCATCATCACCTTCACCATCATCATCAATATCACCTTATCATCATCTTCATTATCATCACCCTCACTATCATCACCATTACCATCAACGTCACCATCACCAATATCATTACCTTTATCACCTTCATCATCATCACCTTCATCATCACCATCATCACCATTACCATCACCTTCATCATCATCACCATCATCATCTTAATTACCTTCATTACCACCACTACCATCAACAGTCACCTTCATCACCACCATCATCATCATCTATTGAGTCCTATAGTGTCTGATATTTAATACA